TTTCCCTATTGAATGGTCTTTTATTTTTGTCAAAAATTCGTTGGCTGCAGATATGTGGACTCTCAATTCTATTCCATTGATTTATTTGTCTTTATGCTGGTGAGGCTCTATTGATTTGTTGCTTTGTAATAAGTTTCGGAATTAATAAGTGTAAGTCATCCTATTTTATTCTGTTTTTAGGATTGTTTTGGCTATCATGGATCCCTTGCAATTCCATATGAATTTTGAAATCAACTTGTCATTTTCTACAAAGACATCAGCTGAGATTCTGGTTGGGATTGCATTGAATCTGTAGATCAGTTGGGGGAGCAGGTGTTGTCCTCTTAACAATGTTTGAGTCTTTCAGTCAATGAACATGGGATATTTTCCCATTTACTTAGCTTTTCTTTGATTTCTTTCAACAGTGTTTTGTAGTTTTCAGAGTATGAGCTTTGCATTTCCTTAACTTCATTTTCAAGTATATTGTTGTTTTTGATGCTATTGTGAATGGAATTGTTTCCTTAATTTCATTTTTGGTTTGTTTATTGCAAGTTTATAGGAATACGTTTGATTTTTGTATATTGGTCTGGTGTCCTGCAACTTTGCTGGACTCATTTATTAGTTCTAATAGTTTTTCAGTGGATTCCTTAGGATTTTCTACATATAAGATCATGGCATATGTGAATAGAGATAGTTTTACTTCTGTCTTGCTGTATTACTTTTGTAGGGCTGCTGTAACAGAGTACCATGAACTGGGTGGCTTAAAACCACAGAAATTTATTCTGTCATAGTTCTAGGGCTAGAATTCCAAAATCAAGATGCCCCTGGTGATGGGTGCTTTTCTGGTGGCTCTGAGGTAGAAATCATCTTGGGCCTTTCTCTTACCTTCTGGCAGTTGCTGGCATTCCTTGTCATTCGTTGGCTTGTGGCAACACAAGTGCAACCTTTGCCTCTATTGCCACATGGTGTTGTCCCTGTATGCGTGTCTGTGTTTCTTTTCTTATAAGGACACCAGTCTTATTGGATTAAGGCTAACTCTAATCCACTATTACCTCATCTTCACTTGATTATATCTAGGAAGACCCTATTTCCAAATAAGGTCACCTTCACAGTACTGGGGTTAAGACTCCAACATATCTTTCTGTAAGTCATAATTCAGTTTATAACACATTCCAGTCTGGATGTCTTTTATTTCTTTTCTTGCCTAATTACCCTGTCTAGAACTCCAGTACAATGTTGAATAAAAGTAGGGGAAAGCATCCAGTCTTTCATCATTAAGTTTGATGTTAGATGTGGTTTTTTTCATAGATGCCCTTTTTCAAATTGAAAAAGTTCCATTCTGTTCCTAGTTTGTGTGAGTGTTTTATCATGAAAGAGTGCTGGAATTTGTCATATGCTTTTTCTGCATCTCTTGAGATGATCATGTAATTGTCTTTTATTGTATTGATATGATGTATTACATTGATTGAATTTTGGATGTTAAACCAAAAGTTGCATCCCTGGGATAAATTCTGCTTAGTCATGGCATATATATATTTTTTGATATTTATTTATTTTCTTTACTTTTTTGGCTGTGTCACGTCTTCGTTGTGGCACATGGGCTCCAAGGCGTGTGGGCTCCATAGTTTGTGGCATGGGGACTTTCTTGTTGAGGCACGTAAGCCCAGTAGTTGTGGCACTCAGTCTTAGTTGCCCCGCGAAATGTGGGATCTTAGTTTCCCGGCCAGGGATCAAACCCCCGTCCCCTGTGTTGGAAGGTGGATTCTTTACCACTGGACCACCAGGGAAGTCCCCATAGCATATAATTTTTATATGTTGTTGGATTCAGTTTGCTAGTATTTTATTGAGGATTCTTTTGTCCATATTCATAATAGATACTGGCCTATTATTATCTCTGATGAATCTGACACCAGGTTCTTGTGGTATTAGGAGCTGAAAGCCCTCCAAGTGGGGCCTGCAGGGAGAAGGGACCCTGTTTTCCTGGCCGTAGCAGTCTGAGGTGGAGTCTGCCTCACTGAGCTGGAAGGAGGGAGAGAGCAGTCTTAGCTCAAATACCACAGACTTTCACCTTTGTTACTGAATTTTCGACAATTTTATCGAATATATGTGCATCTTACGCCCTTAGGACCATTTCCAGAGGCTTTAAATGGTGGTTCTTTAATAAATTTTACCAGTTTCATTGTGGAGAGGGTCAGCAGAGCTCCTCATGCTGTCATGCTGGACATAGATCCTATAACTTCTTAATTTATTAAAATTCATTTAATTTTTAAGCCACCTAGTAGTGTAAAAAATTTGTGATATTGTTCAGACCTTGGTTTCCATTGAGTCAAAACTAGCAGCAGATGTGACTAAAGTTGAAGGGTTATGAAATTGAAGAAGTAAGAAAGGCAGATGCTTGTTGCATATGATCAGAATTAAAATTTGCATATAATACAAGCAAAAGGTAAAAGAAGGAGCAAGAGATGAAAATATTTGGCTTTTAAATGATTTCTGGTTTTGTTTATGAATAATTATAAATTTCCACTCCATTGTAACCAAAAGCATAGAAAGACCTGTAAAATGTAGTGCTTTGAGATATGGAACATGTGTTTGGGAAAATACCTAAGCTATTACTTTCTTTTCCTCTTTTAGGAAATGACCACAGGTGAACATTCCCAAGCTGAAACAGGTAACTGTTAATAAGGAAACAGCTAAAAATACTTCATTAACACCAACGAACAGAGTGATTTAATAGTGGTGGTAATTAGTAAATGAGTCAGTTTGCTGGAAAATTGAATGAAAGATCCAGCAGTTTGAATATGTTATCTCTAGGAGAAACTTGTGTTCTTGGAATGCTACTTTAGAGAGTGATTAAATGTTTGATAAAGAAGTATTTATTTTCTCTGATTTGCACAGATGTATTTCCTTTGAAGGTATTAAGTTATTTCACGAGAAGGAGGCATTTTCAGTGAGTAAAAGTCAACAGTTGATGCTCTCTTTATAGTATATAAGCTGAATGAAACACTACCCTAGTAAGGGGTTAGTGGTATGGAGGGTTTTGAAACTTGTTACTAGAGGATAAACACCTAAATTAAAATTCTTTTCTAAGCAACCAAACATAAATTTCTCGATTCATTCTTCTATTTTAATGTTGATCTGGTTTTTCACAAGGTACCAACGATGGAAGCACTGAAGCTGCCATAACTTTACTTACAATGGGAGGTCTGGTGTTGCAGTCAGAGATCAGTACAGAACAGAGTGATGGTAAGAATAAAAGATAAGTCCTACCACAAAAAGAAACCTTTAAAATCCAACTTTTAAGAAATATACCCATATTTGAATATTAAGTGAATATCTGCCTTTTACATTTGAAGTTGGCATCACTGTGTTATTTTTCTGGAAAAGGTAATATGTATGCATTGATCCATCCTACTTACTACTTACTTAGCCCTCTAATGGCCTCCATTTCAGTATAGTGCACTGGGTTTATTAAGGATAATTTGTATTTGTAGAATAGTTAATCTAGTGAATCCTCTACCTTTATCATCATAAACATCATTGGTTAACTGAACTCCTTGATCACTGATCTCTTCACACACGTTTCTTTAGCGAAGGAGCTGCTGCTTTAGATAGTCTTCACAATTACATGACAGTCAAATACAGTATGAAGGGGCAATAGTAGTCACTGAGATAATTTAGACTATTCTGTTTGTTTGGACTGAGCCAAAAAATATGTCAACTCAGACTCTTAGTATTTTATTTTCGGCTATGGCCTTTACTATCAAAGTACCTTCTACTTTACATTAAATGAATAATCATGTCACTTATAATCCTGTTAATCATTTTAACTGCTGATGAGTGACCTGCCGTTTGTTTTAAGTGTCAGATTTCTTGGCCCATAACTATATAGTTATCAGGAAAGTCTCTGATTTGTGTTCCCTATAGGGCTCCTTTTTCAATGGCAGAGTATTGCATTATAGCCTGTCACAAATGTCTAGAACGTAAAATACAGGTTTAAAAAAATTATAAATGAAGATAATCCTATCTGGAAATTCATCTGAGGTTATATAGTTACTGAAAGTAACAAAAAGATTTATTTTTAATTATAATAACAAAAGTTTCAGTCTGTAAGAATTATTAAACTTAGCACATGTCAAATCTGTGGCATGAAATATGAGGTCATAAATTTAAACTTGGAGCCAAAAAGAGCAGACTTTAAAAATAACATAGATAGTTTCTCAAATGTGTTTTACCCATTTTATCATTCTGCTAGTCCTCTCCTAATGAATTGAATAAATCTTTAACACATTGTTTACTCAAAAAAAAAAAAATTAGGGAATTCCCTGGCGGTCCAGTGGTTAAGACTCCCCACTTCCACTGAAGGGGGCACAGGTGCAGTCCCTGGTTGGGGAACTAAGATCCTGCATGCCACGTGGTGCGGCCAGAAAAAAAAAATTAAAAATAAAAATAACATAGAATTTTACTGTTGCTGCATGTTGAAGGATTTATTTGGACATCTATTTGTATTTGGTCAATTTTAATTTTCTGTTTTTTTCTGCAATAGGAGTATGTGTACTTCCTGATGTTCATTCAAACGATAAAAGCCATATTCCTTTTTGCCCAGATAATACAAATCTCAAAATTGTTCATGAATGTCAGGAACCTTCTTCACCTATCAGTAGTACATCTCCGTCAGTAGAAGAAAACAAGATTATGTTGGATGAACAAAGTACTAAAGAAGAAATTGGTTTAATGGAAGAAGTAAAGGAAAACTCTATATCATCCAGGTTTATTTTGCTTTATTAAACTATTATTGTTTTTTGAGTTTTACAAAATAAATTAGTGTTCAATTAATAAGTATATATAAACCAACCATCAATTTGGCCAATATCTTTGAGTAACAAATAAATGTAAGGTGGGCAGTGCTAATTTTTCACCCTTTAAAGTAAGGTTTAGCAGATTTTGATTTTAGTTTAATGGTTTGCACATTAAAATTACCACAGTGGGTGCTTTAAGCATTATTGAAACAGTTTTATGTAAATATAGTCCAGTTTTACAGACATGGTCCAGATTCTTACACAGAATCCTGAGAGAATTCTTACACAGTTGATTAATTTCTCTTTCTTCCCATCTCTTTCTAGGACAACTTCAGAAGTGACCAATAATTTGAGAATGAGAAGTAGATTTGCCAAGCCTAAGCCAAATCTTAAGAAAATTTTAGGAACCAGCAGGTTTGGTGCTCATCAGGAAGTTCCCAGTTTGTTTGTAACTAAAGAATTGGAAATTCAAAGAGGTAAACTTTATTGTTCCCTTGAAAGTTACAAAATTACTTTGGCCCAAGAAATTTCATTAGCATTTCAAATGGAATATTCAGTTTTTACAATTATTTTAACTATTAAAAAGTTAAAACATACAGAAAGTAGAATGAGCTATAAAATAAATACCCATAAACCCACCAACTAGTTTCACTAATTATTACCCTTTCACTATATTTACTTGATCAAACTTTCTCTTCATATATATTTTTTTCTGTGTGTTTATACATGAATACTCAAGCAAACATCTCTTAGGCATACATTGCATGTGGGAAAAAATAAGACAGTACCCAAAATTCAAAAATTTTAAAACCTCCTTCTTCCTTGGTTCCCAGCCCCAAACCCATTTCCAGTATCAGTTTTTATTGTAGACTTCTAAAAATGTTTTATACACGTATGCATCTAAATAAGGGTGTGTATATATACACACAAGCACCCATATATATATACATACACACATACATATATATGTATACACATGTATATTCCTTTCAGCAAGAACAAAAATATATGTATACTATATCATATATACTATTCAGCACTTCTTAAAAATACCAATTTTATTGAGATAATTCACATACCATAGAATTCACCCATTTAAAGTGTACAAGTCAGGATTTCCCTGGTGGTCCGGTGGTTAGGACTCCGTGCTTCCACCGCAGGGGCACGGGTTTGATCCCTGGTCAGGGAACTAAGATCCCATAAACTGTACTGAGTGGCCAAAAAAAAAAGTGCACAATTCAATGGTTAGTATATTCAACTTTTGAGTATTATAAATAATGCTGCTAAGAACAGTCATTTATAAGTTTTTGTTTGGACATATATTTTTATTTCTCTTGGGTTTATACCTACAAGTAGAATTGTTGGGTCATGTGGTAATGCTGTGTTTAACCTTTTGAGGAACTGCCAAACTGTTACAAAAGTGGCTGCACCATTTTATATTTTCACCAACCTTTGGTGAGGGTTTCAGTTTCTCTGCATCCTCCCAGACACTTGTTATTATTTGTCTCTTTGAATATAGCTATCCTAGTGGGTGTGAAGTGCTATCTCATTGTGTGTGTGTGTGTGTGTGTTTTAACTGGGGTATAATTGCTGTTAGTTTTTGTTGTACAATGAAGTGAATCAGCTATATGTATAATATATCCCCTCCCTCTTGGACCTCCCTCCCACCCACCCACCCCCATCCCACCCATCTAGGTCACCACAGAGCACCGAGCTGAGCTCCCTGCACTATACAGCAGGTTCCCACTAGCTATCCGTTTTACACATGGTAGCGTATATATGTCAGTCCCAATCTCCCAATTCATCCTACCTCGCCTTGCCCCCCCGCCCATGTCCACACGTCCGTCCATTCTCTACGTCTGCGTCTCTATTCCTGCCCTGCAAATAGGTTCATCAGTACCATTTTTCTAGATTCCATGTATATGCATTAAAATATACAATATTTTTCTCTTTCTGACTTACTTCACTCTGTATGACAGATTCTAGGTCCACCCACATCTCTACAAATGACCCAATTTCGTTCCTTTTTATGGCTGAGTAATATTCCACTGTATATATGTACCACATCTTCTTTATCCATGCATCTGTTCATGGGCATTTATGTTGCTTCCATGTCCTGGCTATTGTAAATAGTGCTGCAATGAACATTGGGGTGCATGTGTCTTTTTGGATTATGGTTTTCTCAGGGTATATGTCCAGTAGTGGGATTGTTGGGTTGTACTGTAGTTCTATTTTTAGTTTTTTAGGGAACCTCCATACTGTTCTTCATAGTGGCTGTATCAATTTACATTCCCACCAACAGAGCAAGAGAGTTCCCTTTTCTCCACACCCTCTCCAGCATTTACTGTTTGTAGATGTTTTGATAATGGCCATTCTGACCGGTGTGAGGTGATACCCCATTGTAGTTTTGATCTGCATTTCTCTAATAATTAGTGATGTTGAGCATTTTTTATGTGCCTCTTGGCCATCTGTATGTCTTCTTTGGAGAAATGCCTATTTAGGTCTTCCGCCCATTTTTTGATTGGGTTGTTTGGGTTTTTTTTGATACTGAGCTTCATGAGCTGTTAGTATATTTTGGAGATTAATCCCTTGTCAGTTGCTTTGCTTGCAAATATTTTCTCCCTTTCAGATGGTTGTCTTTCTGTCTCGTTTATGGTTTCCTTTGCTGTGCAAAAGCCTTTAAGTTTAATTAGGTCCCATTTGTTTATTTTTGTTTTATAGTCATTACTCTAGGAGGTGGGTCAAAAAAGATCTTGCTGTGATTTATGTCAAAGAGTGTTCTTCCTGTGTTTTCCTCTAAGAGTTGTATAGTGTCTGGTTTTACATTTAGGACTTTAATCCATTTTGAGTTTATTTTTGTGTATGGTGTTAGGGAGTATTCTAATTTCATTCTTTTACATGTAGCTGTCCAGTTTTCCCAGCACCACTTATTGAAGAGACTGTCTTTTCTCCATTGTATAGTCTCGCCTACTTTGTCATAGATTAGGTAACCATAGGTGTGTTGGTTCATCTCTGGGCTTTCTATCCTGTACCATTGATCTATATTTCTGTTTTTGTGCCAGTACCATACTGTCTTGATTATTGTAGCTTTGTAGTATAGTCGGAAGTCAGGGAGCCTGTTTCTTCCAGCTCTGTTTTTCTTTTTCAAGATTGCTTTGGCTATTCGGGGTCTTTTGTGTTTCCATATAAATTGTAAAATGTTTTGTTCTAATTCTCTGAAAAATGCCATTGGTAATTTGCTAGGGATTGCATTGAATCTGTAGATTGCTTTGGGTAGTATAGTTATTTTGACAATATTTATTCTTCCAATCCAAGAACATGGTATATCTCTCTGTTTGTGTCATTTTTGATTTCTTTCATCAGTGTCTTACAGTTTTCTGAGTACAGGTCTTTACCTCCTTAGGTAGGCTTATTTCTAGGTATTTTATTCTTTTTGTTGCAGTGGTAAATGGGATTGTTTCCTTAATTTCTCTTTCTGATCTTTTGTTGTTAGTGTATAGGAATGCAAGAGATTTCTGTGCATTAATTTTGTATCCTGCAGCTTTACCACATTCATTGGTTAGGTCTAGTAGTTTTCTGGTGGCATCTTTAGGATTCTCTGTGTATAGTATCATGTCATCTGCAAGCAGTGACAGTTTTACTTCTTCTTTTCCAATTTGTATTCCTTTTATTTCTTTTTCTTCTCTGATTATTGTGGCTAGGACTTCCAAAACTATGTTGAATAATCGTGGCGAGAGTGGACATCCTTGTCTTGGTCCTGATCTTAGAGGAAATGCTTTCAGTTTTTCACCATTGAGAGTGATGTTTGCTGTGGGTTTGTCATATATGGCCTTTATTATGTTGAGGTAGGTTCCCTCTATGCCCACTTTCTGGAGAGTTTTTATCATAAATGGGTGTTGAATTTTGTCAAAAGCTTTTTCTGTATCTCATGAGATGATCATATGGTTTTTATTCTTTAATTTGTTAATATGGTGTATCACATTGATTGATTTGCATATATTGAAGAATCCTTGCATCCCTGGGATAAATCCCTCTTGATCATGGTGTATGATCCTTTTAATGTGTTGTTGGATTCTGTTTGCTAGTATTTTGTTGAGGATTTTTGCATCTATGTTCATCAGTGATATTGGCCTGTAATTTTCTTTTTTTGGGATATCTTTGTCTGGTTTTGGTATCAGGGTGATGGTGGCTTCGTAGAATGAGCTTGGGAGTGTTCCTTCCTGTGCAATTTTTTGGAAGAGTTTGAGAAGGATGGGTGTTAGCTCTTCTCCAAATGTTTGATAGAATTTGCCTGTGAAGCCATGTGGTCCTGGACTTTTGTTTGTTGGAAGATTTTTAATTGAAGTTTCAATTTCATTACTTGTGATTGGTCTATTTATATTTTCTGTTTCTTCCTGGTTCAGTCTTGGAAGGTTGTACCTTTCTAAGAATTTGTCCATTTCTTCCAAGTTGTCCATTTTATTGGCATATAGTTGTTTGTAGTAGTCTCTTATGATCCTTTGTATTTCTATGGTGTCGCATTGTGGTTTTGATTTGCATTTCCCTGTTCACTAATGATGTTGAGTATCTTTTTATGTGCTTATTTGCATATCTTCTTTAGAGAAATGTCTGTGAAGATCTATGCTCATTTTATTTTATTTTATTTTTTAAGATTTTTTTTTGATGTGGATCATTTTTAAAGTCTTTATTGAGGGCTTTCCTGGTGGCGCAGTGGTTGAGAGTCCGCCTGCCGATGCAGGGGACGCGGGTTTGTGCCCTGGTCTGGGAAGATCCCACATGCCACACAGCGGCTGGGCCCGTGAGCCATGGCCACTGAGCCTGTGTGTCTGGAGCCTGTGCTCCGCAACAGGAGAGGCCACAACAGTGAGAGGCCCGCGTACCGCAAAAAAATAAATAAATAAATAAATAGTCTTTATTGAGTTTGTTACAGTATTGCTTCTGTTTTGGTTTTTTTTGTTGCTTTTTTTTTTGGCTGTGAGGCATGTGGGATCTTAGCTCCCCGACCAGGGATCAGACCCGCACTCCCTATGTTGGAAGGCCAAGTCTTAACCACTGAACCACAAGGGAAGTCCCTCTGCTCTTTTTAGAATTGAGTTATTTGTCTTTTTATTATTGAGTTCTTTATATGTTAGTGCTGTTTTTAAAGATTAATATATTGAAAAAAAATCTGTCCGTATGATTGCATAGTGCTCTTCATTTTTTCAATAGCCTCACTATATTTTCCATGTCCCCTCCCTGCCAAGGTCCCAAGGGTACTAGTGGGAGCAGGAAAAGCAGTGTAAGTGGTAGGCTGCCTAGGTTATATTCAACCCCATATGTAGAAGATCTGGATGGTTAGCATCATCTTTTCCTTGTTTTGGGGTTCTTGATCTCTGGGATTTTCTTTTAGCCAACAATTCCTGGGGTTCAATTAGTTAATTCATTACTTTGGCTTGAGCAGTACCCGGAAGGTCTCTCAGTGTGCAGACCCCAGTTACCTCTTTTATACAGATGTCATTTTCTTCTGCTTTTTGACATTATTCATTACAGAACAGCTCCCTCCCCAACACTTCCCACAAGGTGGAACCAGCCAGGCCTCATGTGTACCCACCTCTAAACCTCTTCTGTATGTGGGTTTCTGATTATACTGCTATTACAGTAAAGTAGAGATACAATAGCTGTGGCTGCCAGGAGTGAAATATGTGCAGTGCAGACTCGTTAATTATCTCATTTATGTTAAAAAGTGTAATTGACGCAGACCACCTTTTTGCCATGTGAATAAGCTTGCTTTTTGGATTAAGAGAAGTTTGGAAGAGCCACTATGTAGTGATCTTTGAAAACAGAATATGTTTCTAATATGGAGATTTTGACTTTACTATTTTGGGCTATATTTTAAATGTATTTTTTATTTAAGAACCTGAGAAAAATGCTTCTAAAGGGAGAGAATTAGAAGATAAAATCCTTGAATCAGTTACAACAGCAGAGAGTAAGGAGCAGAGCAAATTGGCATCTGTACACGGTATTGAAGAAACCAGTATTTCACAAGAAGCACGCCTAACTGGAAGGTAAAAGAGGAAAGATATTTTGGGATTTGATTTATATTCTTTGTCAACTATAGGCATAAGCAGTAGCTGTAAGAATTTGTTCAGTTGCATTAAATCTGTCTTAAAAGTTTGAAAACCATTAAATTAGATGAACTTTGACATACCTAGCTCTAAACATAGTTCTGTGATTGTCTCCTTGATTTCAGATACATACTAATCTGTCTTTCAGAGATGAAGATGAAGAAGGGAGGTCTGCAGAGGTTCAGCTGTCTTCAGTTGCTCCTGTTTCGTCTGAGTCAAGGCCCCACACACTTGGTTTGGGTATGGGTCTTGGTGAGAGTTCTGTCGAAGAGCCCCTGGGAAAGGACTCTAACGGAGACAGTATGCTTATACTTCATGTGCCAGAGGTAAAAGAATGTAAAATATAACGGGGTGGCCAGCTGTTTATTCCTTATTTAAAACGTTAAGTTCTAATTTACACACAATAAACTTTACCCTTTTTAGTGTTCAGTTCTACAGATTTTCATAAACATATATAATCATATAACCAATACATGAACAGTTCCATCACTCCCCAACTTTTCCAGGGTCCTTTTTAGTTACTCCTGTCCACCCCCCCACCCCTGACAACCACTGATCTTTTTTCTTTCCCAAGAACAGTTTTATTGCTCCAAAATAGTCCCCAGTGCAGTTTTCTAGTCAACCATTCTCCCACTCTCATGTCTGGCAATCACTGATCTGTTTTCTGTCCCTATAATTTTGCCTTTGCAAGAATGTATTGAATATGTTTTTAGTCTCTGGAACATAGAGATAAAATAACCAATACCTAGCTTTGCTGTAAAAGCTTTGAAAAAGGAAGTGTTTTGTACAGAGAGAACTCTTGCTTCTTAGCCCCTGGATCTGAGAAGTTCATTCTCAGAGCAAGTGTTTATTGAGATGTGTGTGCAGTACTGTGTGAGATACTTGGAACACAACCTTGTGAGGAACAGGTGAGTAAATGAATGGTTAAACTCAGTCTGATAGGTGTTATGAAAGAGAGTTGTGTGAGACTCAGTTGGAGCGGCCCTCAACCCAATCCAGCAAAACTAATCTGGTGGGGGCAGTGGGCGGAGCCCAGGCATTAGCTTTTTTTTTTTTTTTTTTAAAGTTCCCCAGGTTATTCTAATGTGCATCCAGCACTGAGCAAATCCTTGATCTGGAAGAACAAGTATGAATTAGCCAGTTACAGGGAGAGGAACATGTACAAAGAACAAGTGTGAAACAGTATGACATGCTCAGGGACTGTATAAGTAGCCATGAGTGGAATATAAATGAAGAAAGTGCTTAGAGATGAAGTTAGATAGCCTGGGGACAGATCATAAAATGAATTTTTATGGCTTGCTAAGGAGTTTGGGTTACATCCAAAGTTATGGGATTTTCCCCTACCACCCAACTTTTTACTTTTTACTTTTTATTTTGAAATAACTTCAAATTAGAGAAAAGTTGCAAGAATCTTGCATAGAAATCTGTTAACATTTTGCCTCATTTGCGTGCATACCTAGCTCTGAACATTATTTTCTCTCTGTGCTGCTCTCCATCTTGGTAGGTACTTTAAAACAACTAAACCATCTGAAAGTAAGTTGTAGACATGAGTCTTCACCCACAAATACTCCAGCTTGTATCTAAGACCAAGGACGTTCTCTTACAGAAAAATGACAATACTATTGCCAGACTCAATATTACCATACTACCTAGCATTGATTTAATAATAATGTGTAATATATAGTTGCAGTCAAACCTCTTACAATGCATTTAGCTGTCATTTCTTCTTACTTTTTTAATCTAGAGTAGTCCTCTTGCCCTTTTTCCTCTTTTGTGTACTTGACATTTTAGAAGAGTCCAAGTTAGTCTATAATCTGGATTTCTTTTGCTGCTTCCTCATTACTAGATTCAGGTTAAACGTTTTTTTGCAAGAGTACTACATAAGTGATGTTTTGCTCTTCTTTTGCATCATATCAGGGGACACATAATGTTGGTTTGTCCCATTATTGGTGTTTCTGACTGATCACTTGGGTAGAATGGTACCTACCAGTTTTCTCCATTATAATTGCATCTTCTCCACTTAGTAAGTAATTTAGTATGCATTGATGATTCTTGCCTGAGTCAATTACTGACATTGTTGGTTGCAAAATGAAAGTTTTAAGATCTTAAGCAGTAGAGAATTACAATTGGAATTGCATTTTAGAGAAAACAATGTTTACAGTTTTGTGGAAAACAGATTGGAGGGAACCATGCTGGGGGCAAGGAGACCAGTTTGCTTCCATATACGTGTCACCTACTAATGGTACAGTGGCTGCTGTGATGGGGATAGAGAGAAGGTTGAAGTGTTTGTATCTCCCTTTTCTGTTACTTCAAAAATCATTTCATAGCTTACACGTATTTAACAATTTAGTCATAATTCCCTTGTGTATATATATATATGTGTGTTTATTTAAGTGAATCAGAATTTTATTGGTACAACTAAAAGTTTCAAAACACTTGAAAAATTCTGTATATAGGTTAGATAAGTTGTTGACTTTTGAAACAATACCTGTTCACAGTATCACATTGTCAGGAAAACTTTTTAAAACTGAGATTTGGTCAACCTCACTCTTTCATTTTAATTTTTTATGGCAGTGTAGTATTCCAGAAGTCCAACAAGAGAATATGAACAATCCTCAAGACTTAACAGGTATGATAATCTGCTTCAGTAGAGTCTTAGAACCTAATAGTATGTTTTTTACTGCCCATTTAACTATGGAAAAACAAAGCAGTTTTTGTTGGTCTATGATGGCCTTAAAAAAAAAAACAGACTTGAAGTATTTTGTATATAAGTTTTGTTATTCAGAATTATAAATCTTTAAAAAAAAGGAATTGTAAATCTTCTCCATAGTGAATCATCTTTATCCTTTACGAAATTTTTGTTTATTTGTTTCTTGAGGGGTATAATTTAGTTTTTTATTCTTCGGGATAAGTTGTCATGAGACTTTTTAGAAGTGAAATAAATTAATGATTTTCTGTCATTTCATGGTTCAGCTTTTCATTACTAACTTTTAAACTTTGATAATGAATCTAGTTGCTAATGTACATCAAGAAGGTGAGGATGAACAAGCATTCATTTTAACTCTGGTGGAAATCCCAACCAATGCAGTAGAAGAATTTGCTGATACCACTATGCAGTTAATGCCAAACCCTTTACTGCCAGCCCCCATATTGGTCAAATCAGTGAATACAGAAGAAAGGGGGGACATGAGGTAATGAATCAACTAAACTGTTTTTGCTACGGGGAAGGGATGCTTTATGAATTGAATAGTATTGATTGAACAAGCCATTCACAAACATTATTTGTAATTGTCATGGAGATCTTATTTAGTAATTATGTGGTAAATTAGAGAAGAAATTACTGATTTTATATCTGATAAAGATGCCATTTAAATGTATAATATAATACTTTTGTATGAAACTTTGTTGGTATTTTAAATATTTTGAAAGCCAAAAAAATTTAGCAATCTGAATCATAAAGGTTACTTTGTATACATTTATATATTTTTTAAATTCTGAAATAAATATACATTCACAGAAAGTTGCAAAAATAGTACAAAGGATACATTTAAAAATATTTTTGATATTTATTTTAATTCTTTGCTGTAGAATTCTTAAGTTGTATTTTAATAGTCATTGGTTAAGATGCTTAATTGTCTATCAAGTAACATTAGAAATTGAAGCCTTTTATATTAGGAAGAGACATTTTAGACTAAAATTTAACTTTACTGACGAAGAAAACATTATTTTTATGCCTCAGATTTAATTCAATATTATGGAACTTAAGTTGTGAGCTTTTAAGTATGAATGGAGCTCAAAACTAACATTTTTGTGGCCATGGCCATGTATATATTAGTTACTTTGAAGTTTTTTGGCAGTTTTCACTGGAATAGCTCAGGCTTTAACCTCATAAAATAACTAATTTAATGTGTGTGTATTTTCTATGCAGTATCAGTTTTCCAGTAACTTCAGCTGGTCAGGATGACATTTGTTTATCTAATTCTGGAAGAGATGATTCTGAAAAGCCTCCTGCTAATTTGGATCTTGTATCTAGGAAGAGATTTCACTGTAGGCTTGACGAAAGTGACCATGTTCCTCCTGCCAAAAAAAGTTCACTCACTTTAAGAGATGATTGTCAAAAATATACCTCTGAGGTAAGATGGAATCATTAAGCAAGTAAGACGGCCATATTTCAACGGATCTATTTTTCTGTTTCCTTTAGACTCTTTATATAAAGATAGCTCTAGGGGCTTCCCTGGTGGCGTAGTGGTTGAGAGTCTGCCTGCTGATGCAGGGGAAACGGGTTTGTGTCCTGGTCTGGGAAGATCCCACATGCCGCCGAGTGGCTGGACCCGTGAGCCATGGCCGCTGAGCCTGCACGTCTGGAGCCTGTGCTCCACAACGGGAGAGGCCACAACAGTGAGAGGCCCGCATACCGCAAAAAAAAAAAAAAAAAGATAGCTCTGATACTTTTTACCATAAATAATCCAGATAAAACCAGTTTTGGATTTTTACTTTCAACCAGTTCTAGGTGAAAATTGATGGATATTAATCAGAAAACCCATTCCCAGCTCAGTGTCATTGACTAAAAATTAAGCTGAAAGCATCATACAGATGTGGATCTTGGCTGTACCACTTAACAGCTGTGGGATCTTAGGCAAGATTCTTCACTTCTTTGAATGAGTTCCCTACTGTGTAAAATGGTAATAGTGATATCATCACTACCATTATCATAATGCTTAAAGCTTCCCATTGCTCTTAGGAATAAAACCAGAACCTCTAAGGCACTGTTTTTGTTTGGCTGTTTTCTGTGTCTAATCTCATCTTGTGCTGGTCTCTGCCTTGCTAGCCATATTGACCATCTTTCAGTTTCTCAAATGCGCCGTACTCATGTCCCAGGCTTTTCTTTTGCTGTCTCTTCATTTATGAAACACTGCCTTGCAAAACACAGACTTCTTTAGCTCAATCATCACTACCTCAGGGTTGCCTGACAATACAGTGCAGATTCAGTTACCAGCCACTGTGTTGTAAGTTTCTTAAGCACCCTCTTGTTTTTGTTTCTGGTAATATCATAAGTTACTACACTATAGAACAACACTATGGAAAAATAAGAATCTATATTCTCAAAGGGACAGTTGAAGACCAATAGTCCTTAGATGATAGTAGACAACAGAGGCGGTGTATTCTGCCATATCTGATAGGTTAAAAAATGGTATCCTGGAATAGTTTTTAATATCTCTTATTATGAGTAAGGTTGAACATCTTTTCATATGCTTAAGAACCAGTTGTATTTCCTTTTCTTTGACATGACTCTATACTCTTTACCCATTTTTCAATTGGGTTTGTTGATCTTTGTCTTGTAGATTTGGAGGAACTCTCTGTTTTGTATGTATGTGATATGAGTTGCAAATTTTTTTTTCTCAGATTGTTGTCTTTTAATTCTACTTTTTGTGATTTTCTCATGCAGACTTTTTTTGCTAAACTTTTTAATGTGAAAGTTTTCAAACATTTAAGAAGGTAGACTGGCAAGTATAATGTATCCCTATGTATCAGTCATCCTGTTTCAACATTTTGTCAGCATTGCATGCAGACATTGTTTCATTTTATTTTAAAAGTATATTTAATGACATGGAAAAAAGATCAGAGTACATCACTATATGCAAAACTAGGTCACCAGTTTAAAATAGGCCATTTAGGGCCTCCCTGGTGGTGCAGTGGTTGAGAGTCCGCCTGCCAATGCAGGGGATACGGGTTCGTGCCCCGGTCCGGGAGGATCCCACATGCCGCGGAGCGGCTGGGCCCGTGAGCCATGGCCGCTGAGCTTGTGTGTCCGGCAACGGGAAAGGCCATGACAGTGAGAGGCCCACATATCGAAAAAAAAAAAAAAAAAAAAAAAAAAAAAAGGCCATTTAAAAAATGATGGATATACATTGGTGTGACTAAATATATAAGAAAAGTATGTATAGTGTCTCTTGGGCCTGTTTGTGGCTTTTATTTTCTAAACTGTTTTCAGCATTTTAACGATAAAAAATTGCTTATAAATAGCCGAAGTTATAATTTTAAATTCTAGAATGTATATACACTGTACTCATATAGACATGCAAATACTTTTTATTTTTCTGTAATCAGATATATCAGTCTTTTGGGGAATTCCCTGGCATTCCAGTGGTTAGGACTAGGGTGCTCTCACTGCTGGGACCTGGGTTCGATCCCTAGTAGGGGAACTAAGATCTCACAAGCCATACAGCATGGCCAAAAAAAAAAATTTTTTTTCTTAGTCTTTTTTTAAAAAAATTAATGTATTTACTTATTTATTTTTGGCTGCGTTGGGTCTTCATTGCTGTGCGTGGGCTTTTTCTAGTTGCAGTGAGTGGGGGCTACTCCTCCTTGTGGTGCACGGGCCTCTCATTGCGGTGGCCTCTCCTGCTGCGGAGCACGGGCTGTAGGCACACGGGCTTCAGCAGTTGTGGCACGTGGGCTCAGTAGTTGTGGCGCACGGGCTTAGTTGCTCCGCGGCATGTGGGATCTTCCTGGACCAGGGCTCGAACCCGTGTCCCCTGCATTGGCAGGCGGATTCTTAACCACTGTGCCACCAGGGAAGTCCCTATTAGTCTTTTTATGTATAGCTTATGGAGTGTGTTATACACTGAAGTTCTACCTTGAATTTAATATAAATTCTTTTAATTAATATTATTGATTTGTATAGAATTTATTCTGGTTTTAAGAACAGTGGAACCAACTTAATTTTCACTAGATGCCTATCCATTTGTCCCAGCACCATTTATTGAATAATTCATCTTTTGTCCACTGATTTAAAATTCTACTTTTGGGGACTTCCCTGGCAGTCCAGTGGTTAAGGCTCTGAGCTTCCACCACAGGGGGCAAGGGTTCAATGCCTGGTCAGGGAACTAAGATCCTGCATGCTGCACGGTGTGGGCAAAAAATAAAATAAAGGTGTACTTTTTTAAAAAAAAAATGAAATTCCACTTTTGTCAGATATTAAATTCCCATACATATTTGGGCATATTCCTGAACTTTCCTTTCTTCTTCATTGATTTACCTATTTGTTCTGGGGCCAGTATCACACTGTTTTAATTATTGTAGCTTTTAAGTGCTTTACTATCTTAAAAAAGGATAGTCTGGGGGCTTCCCTTGTGGCGCAGTGGTTAAGAATCCGCCTGCCAATGCAGGGGACACGGGTTCGAGCCCTGGTCCAGGAAGATCCCACATGCCGCGGAGCAGCTGAGCCTGTGCACCACAACTACTGTGCCTGCGTTCTGGAGCCCGCAAGCCACAACTACTGCAGCCCTTGTGCCTAGAGCCCGTGCTCCGCAACAAGAGTAGCCCCCACTCTCCACAACTAGCGAAAGCCCGCGCGCAGCAATGAAGACCCAACGCATCCAAAAATAAATTAATTTTAAAAAAAAGAAAAGGGATAGTCTGTCCCTCTCCCCATCCCCCAGTACAATTTTCTTCTTTTTCCAAGTTTTTCCTAGTCGCTTATGTTTTTTCTTTTTTCTTGGCTGTGTTGGGTCTTCGTTGCCGCGCACAGACAGTCTCTAGTTGCATTGAGCGGGGTTTACTCTTCATTGCGGTGCACGGGCTTCTCATTGCAGTGGCTTCTCTTGTTGTGGTGCACGGGCTCTAGGCGCGCAGGCTTCAGTAACTGGCTCGCAGGCTCTAGAGCGCAGGCTCAGTAGTTGTGGCACATGGGCTTAGTTGCTCAGCAACATGTGGGATCTTCCTGGACCAGGGCTAGAACCTGTGTCCCCTGCATTGGCAGGCAGATTCTTAATCACTGTGCCACCAGGGAAGTCTGCTTATATGTTTTAAAGTTTATATTAATTTCAGAATTAGCTTATTCAGAGCTTAAAAAAAAAACCCTATTGGTACTTGTGTTAGGATCATACTAAGTTGACAGATGAACATAGAGAAAATTGACATCATAAATGTGAGGTTGAATCTTCCTGTACAGAAACACAGTGTGTCTTTCCAATTGTTTAAGACTTCTTATGTGTCTGTCTCTCAGGGGTATTTTAAGTTCTTCTTCATATAAATCTGGTACATTTCTTATTGGATTATATCTAAGACTTTTATCTTTTTTGTTGCTATTATCATTGAGTTCTTTTTAATCTAGAGAGCTTTACTGAATTACCCTCATTGTGTGTAGTAATTTTTCAGTTGGTTCTCTTGAATTTTCTTAGTAAACAGTCATATCATCTGCAAATATAATTTTAATTCTTCTCTTCTACTTTTTACACCTTTAATTTCTTTCTTTTCTAATTATATTGGCTAATATAACTTTAAAAAATCAGAAAATAGTCCTGATAGTGGACAACTTTTTCTTATTCCTGACTTTAATGGGAATACTTCTAGTGTTTATGAAGTGGGATGCTGCCTTTTGGATTGCAATAGTTGTATTTTACGGTGCTAAGAAAATGCCTGTCCAATTTTACATTTTTTTTAAAGAATGATATTATTGGACACTTTTCCTGCAAATAGAGAGACGATATTATTTTTCTCCTCAGATCTGTTGATTTTTATTAATATGTTTTATAATATTAAATCATCTTTGTATTCCTGAGACAAACTGTTTTGTTTTTTTTTTGCCTGTGCCTCCAAGCTTGTGGGATCTTAGTTCCCTGACCAGGGATTGAACCCGCGCCCTCAACAGTGAAAATGTGGAGTCCTAACCACTGGACCGCCAGGGAATTCCCAAACAAACTCTATTTGATCGTGATGTTTTAGTCTTTTGATGTGCTGCTAAATTATGCTTGTCATATTTCATTTGATATTTTTGCACTGATTTGAGACTGGTTAGTTGGTATCAATATGATGCTTGATTTATAAAAGGCATTTGGAAGCTTTCCCTCTTCTGCTATGCTGTGGAATAATTTAAATAGTTGCAGTGTCTTTTTCATAAATGTTTGGTAGAATTCCCATAAAACATGTCTGACCCTAGCTTTCTGGGAAATACAGGTTTTCTTTACTTAAAAAAGAAAAAAGGAAATAAAATAAAGAAAGAAGAAAATAAAATTAATTTTATTTGACATAGATTTCTAATTTTTTTTGTAAATTTTCTTAAAACAGGTGTGTTCAAAGGAATTAATAAATGTTTTGGAGAAAACAGGTGAGTAAAATAAATTTTAATGTGATTGCATTTTGCTAAGTACCCCTGATTATTTTTGATATATCTTGTTTAAATTTGGGATTGAAGCAGAATCTTGCTCATTTTTCTCTAAGAATCATGCCTTTATTATTAGAAGTTTTTCTTCCCTTCTGAGATCTTAGATTTGGCACTTTGGTGGCCATGAAAAGCTACTTTCATCCTGTATTTAATAGAAAATCATATGCCTCCAGGATTTCCTGTAAAAGCTCAACAACTACATTTAAGGAATTAGAAAGCTGGGTATTAAGGAGTTTTTATAGGTCCTTAGCTTTATCCTTTTTTGTTTTTAATTAATTTTTATTGGAGTATAGTTGATTTACAATGTTGTGTTAGTTTCTGCTGTACGGCAAAGTGAATCAGTTATATATGTATAAGTGATACATATGCATATGTATAACTCCACTCTTTTTAAGATTTTATTCCCATATAGGTCATTACAGAGTATTGAGTAGAGCTCCCTGTGCTATGCAGTAGATTCTTATTAGTTATCTATTTTATATATAGTAGTGTGTATATGTCAATCCCAATCTCCCAATTTATCCCTCTCCCTACCCCCCGCCCTTTCCTCCTTGGTAACCATAAGTTTGTTTTCTATATCTGTGACTTTATTTCTGTTTTGTAAATAGGTTCATTTGTACCATTTTTTTAGATTCCACATGTAAGCGATATCGTGTGATATTTGTCTTTCTCTGTCTGACTTAACTTCACTCAGTATGACAATCTCTAGGTCCATCCATGTTGCTGCAAATGGCATTTTTCGTTCTTTCTTATGGCTGAGTAATATTTCATTGTATATATGTACCACATCTTCTTTATCCATTCCTCTGTTGGATATTGAGGTTGCTTCCGTGTCACGGCTACTGTAAATAGTGCTGCAATGAACATTGGAGTACATGTATCTTTTTGAATTATTGTTTTCTCCAGTTATGTGCCCAGGATTAGTATTGCTGGATCATATGGTAGCTCTGTTTTTAGTTTTTTTAAGGAACCTCCATACTGTTCTCCATAGTGGCTGTGCCAATTTATATTCTCACCAACAGTGCAGGAGGGTTCCCTTTTCTCCACACCCTCTCCAGCATTTATTGACTGTAGATTTTGTGATGATGGCCATTCTGACCTTAGCTTTACCCTTAATTAGAAAGTGATCACTTTTTTATTTTGCTAGTTCAAGAAATATTTATGGAGAATGCTTTTCTAAGTCAAGATATATTGATAAGACTATTTTACATCTGAAGGTAGAAGCTGTTACCATAGCTTTTACCCATTAGAATATTCCTAATAGTCCACTCATTTTTAATTTAGCTTACTCTTATTAGGGTAGGTTCATAATAGAATATCATGGGTTTTCTTCTTCAAATATTGCAATTTAATTGGATGTATTAATTTCAATATGTGTGCTTATCATTTATTTTCTTTTTTGAAGGAGAGTCTTACAAGGGACAAGCTATCTTCCCTACCTCAGGAAACACACATACAATCCCAGAACCTCAGAAAGAGCAACTTGAACCAACTTTTCAGAGTATCAGATCTAAACCTCTTGATAAAATAACAGGTACACAAGAAGAGAATACATCTCAGTTACCTCAGGATGAGATAGGGGTGTCTGATAAGGAAAAAAGAACTTGTGCTGCTTCTAAGTCTGAACAAATGGATAGCATCACATCGTCTTCAAAAACCCCACTATCCAGGTATCATGGGAAAATCTTTAATAAATGTTTCTCTCTCTCCATTTTTCTGTCTCAGTGGATAAATATAACCTATATGGAACAGGTGTAACATGTATAACGACTAAGTCCAGTACTAAGGATGGTGTTTTGTAATCATACCCCTCTGTCAGAAATGTAAAGGGAAGGGATGTCACCAGAGGAAATACAGTAAGGTCAGACACTTTTGGAGGACATTGCCTATGACTAGAGCTTAACTTTAAGTGCTGAAACTTTGATTTTAGATAGAAAATCTTTAGAATTTAGTATTGCATACTTTCTTTTCCAGTTTGTTCATGGTTATTATTTTAACAATTATTTATTCTACCATACAGTAGCTGCCAGTGCAGATGTAGATGGTCTGAGACATAGGGCTAACATCAGAAGTAACTCTGTAGGTTGTTTTATTGAAGTCCCAAGTACTGTGTGCGTTTTTCTCTCTTGTGGCATACCAGAGAGATAAACCCTGGCTTTCTCCCTATAACACTAAGTGTGGAATTTAAGCCCAAAGCCAGCCTCTCCCACATTATTTCCTCATACTCTAGAAGTGAGTCTTCTGGGTTATGGATAACTATTGTCTTGTTGGCAGCATTTAAATCATTAACGTGGAGTTGGTGAGTTGGAGAGGGAGGACATGTACTAGTCTTCACTAAAGGAAAGTGGGGGAAAGGACATGTATAACTTGAAAAGGCATATTTAACGAACCTGTGTTTTTGTTATATAAACTACATCTTTTCTGGCGTAGAGATGTGCTGAAAATAGAATGAGGGTAGCATCATGGGGGTTTGGGTTAAAACAGTTGAGAAGCAGTATTCTAGAACAAGGGTCAGCAAATTTTGGGGGCAAAAGATCACGTAGTACATATTTTAGGCTTTGTGGGCCATATATCTCTGTTGCAACTACTCAGCTACTCAACAGATATGTAATCACATCTTTTTACATATATGGTTACATATTACATATGTGGTATGTATATATATAATATACCACATATGTAATATGTAACCATATATGTAAACAGATGAGCATGCTGTGTTCCAGTAAACTTATTTGTAGAATCAGGTGGTGGACTTCACTTGGCCTGTGGATCGTAGCTTGCTGACCCCTGCTCTAGAGCCCTTCTACTCAAAGTGTGGTCCTGGCACCAGCAACAGGGACATCATTTGAGAACTCAGTAGAAATACAGGACTTAGGCCCCACTTCCCCACCAACTCAGTCAGAATCTTCATTTTGATAAAGGTCCCCACGTGATTTGTATGCCTTTCAGGCTTGAGAAGTACTGCTCTAGAGTAAGCTTTGACCTTTGTCACAAATACACGTCATGGCAGAGTGATATCAGTACTTAGTGTATCAGTGTTTAGTAGGTGTGCCACTCCTGTGGTATCATACGTGCCATTTTAGCATTCATGGAAAGAAGTTGGCATTAAGAGTGTGTCTTCCTGGGACTTCCCTAGTGGCCCAGTGGTTAAGACTGTGTGCTTCCAATGCAGGGGGCATGGGTTTGATCCCTGGTCGGGGAACTAAGATCCCACATGCTGGGCGGCATGGCCAAAAAAAAAAAAAAAAAAGTTTAACTATACAGATATAGATGTCCTATAGAACTTGACACATTCCTCCTTTCAGCTTCTTTGCTGCAATATCCTGCCTATGAATAATTTAGTGAATAAATATTTAAAAAAAAAAAAGAATGTATCTTCCTGGATATTGTTGAATATCTTTACATTTGCATTTCTAGACCTGGCAGAAGACCCCTGGGATTTTTGTCTTTAATATGTTCAAAGAATAGTTTGGAGTCTGATGAACCTACTCAGGTTCGTAGCAAGAAACGCCTGAAACCTCTTATACCTGTATCAAGACAGAATCTGAAAAGATCTAATCCGCTCAATACAAGCCAGAAAAAAACTCAAGAGTCCTCTGATCTTCCATCTCCAAGTGTTGTTGTTAATACTCAACCTAAAAATATTGATAGTTCAGCAACTCAGGTATGTGATAACTACTCTTTGTTTATTTGTATAGAATGGGTTGGATATCAGAATCAACTTGGAAAAACATGGCAATTGTTATTTTCATCTGAATATCAGAAATTATTGCAGAGCAACTCCACTCCATCTCCTCCCTATCCTACCCCACTGTACTGGAAGAAGATAAGGTGTTGAATTAGAAAGTTACAGCTAGTTTAATATAGAGCCATTGAACTAACCATAAATGGACACTTAATTGCCATTCCTTTACTGCAGAGACCCTTCTGACCTGTGGAAGCAAAACAAAGCAGTGCTTGCATTTTATTTCCTTTGGGACAAATGTCATGACACCTACAAAAATTCAAGGAACAGTAAAATTAGAATTCGTTTGCATGTTTCATTTCTGTGTACTCTGAAGCTGTAATAGCAAGTACTGGGGCAGAAAATTTTGTGAACTTGTATCAAAGACTTTGGAAGAACATTGGGGTGACTTCAGATCTCAACAAAGAAAAGGCGGGTGACCATCTGTTGGATAGCATGAGCCTCAAAGGAAGGAGTCCTTTTGTAAAGAACATTTTTAACGTTTTAAAAATATTTTAAATTATTTCCTACAACTATATTCTGAAACCAGGATTTTATGAGTCTTTATTATTATTGCCAAATTACTTTGGAGAATAGTTGTAATTACCAGCAGTGTAACAGTGCCGGTTTAATCACATTCTTGCCAGCCTGAGATATTACTCTTCAAAATACATTTGTTTTTCTTATTTAATATAATGGTGGTGGGGGGGGTGGAAATGTCATTTCATTTTTAAAATTTGCATTTCTTCAGTTATTAGTGAGTTTTGTTCTTTCCCATATATTTACTAGATTTTCTGATTTTTTTCTTTTTTTCTTTTTTCTTCCTATCTTCTGCTGATTTATAGGTTTGGGGATCTTAGTAGTTTTCTTACCAATTTGTATGAGATCCTTATGTATGTAAATAAGCCACGTGCCTTTTAGCTCTTTACTGCAAGTATTTTTTCCAAGTTTATTTACTTTTTTAAATTTGGGGGAATTTTTGTTATACATAACTTTTAAATGTTTAGTCAAATCCATTACTTGTTTGTTTGCAATTTGTTAAATTGCTTTTATGATGAAAAGTTTTTCTCCAGAGGTATAAAATTTTAAAGCTTTAACTCTGTTCATGGTTATTGACTTTGGTATGTAGTGTGAGGGAAGAATTTAAATTAAATGTTATCCTCAAATTGCTACTTTAGTTTTTTGAGTAAGCAATATATTCCACGTCTTAAAATTCATAACCTACAAAAGAGAGTTTATAGGAAAAAGTTTCCCACATCTGTCCTTTAGCTTCCTAGTTCCTCCTTTCCACAGGTATATGGTATTATCAGATTTTGGTTTACTTTTCCAGAGACATTTTAATATACACAAATATAAACATTTTTCTTCTTTTTTACATAAATAATAATGTATCAGTCTCTGCTTTGCTTTTTTCACCTAATAGTATGTCTTGGAGACCTTGCAAAACAGTAGATAAAGGGCTTCCTCCTCTCTCTTGCTCTCTTTAAAAAATTTAAATTATTAACTTCTTATTTTGAGATAACTGTAGTTTCACATGCAGTTGTAAACAACTATACAGAGAGATCCCATATACCCTTTACCCAGTTTTCCCCAGTGGTAACATCTTAAAAAACTCTCCTATAATATCACAACCACTATATTGCATTGCTGCAGTCAACATACAGAACAGTTCCATCACCACAGAGATCCTTTGTGTTGCCCTTTTATAGACACACCTACTTCCCTCCCGCTCCCTACTCTCTCTTTATCTTCTGGCAAGCTGGTTGCCATTAAATTCGTCATTGCAAGAATGTTATATGAATGGAATCATATATTTGGGATTGGCGTCCTTTCACTCAACGGTAGTTCCCTAGAGAGTCGTCCAGATGATTTTATGTATCAAATAGTTTGTTCCTTTTTATTTCTGAATAGTATTCCATAGTATGGATGTACCGGTTTTGTTTATTCATTTACCCACCAAAGGACATCTAGTGCTTGCTTTTATGAATAAATCTGTGAACTTTTGTACACAGCTTTTTGCATGGACATAAATTTTCCTATTTTCAGGACTAAGTGCCCTCATTATTTTTAATGACTACATAATATTCCATTGTTTGGATGTACCATAGAGTGATACTGGCCTCCCACTGATAGGCATTTAGGTTATCCTACTTACTACAAGTAATGTGGTAACAGCTAACTTATAAATGGATGATTTTTCACATTTATAGGTTAAATTCCTGGAAATAGAATTGCTGTTCTAATGGAATGATTTTTCTTTTGCCAGACACTGCCTGATTGTCCTGCATAGGAATTATAGAAGTTTCTGTTCTTATCAGCAGTATATGAGAGGGCCTTTTTCCTTACATTAGCGTATTATCAATGTTCATTTTTGACATTCTTCATAGACTTAATGAACACATATGTCTGTGATACAGGTTGTAAATTTTTTTCCCTCTATGGCATTTATCTTTTGATTTTGTGTATGGTGGTTTGTGCCATGCAGACATTTTTTATTTTTACATATGTGAATTTATCAATCTTTTAAGGCTTCTGGCTTTCATGTCATTGCTTCACACTCTCTCTCCCCAACTCTAGGATTATAAAAATATTTTCCCATGGTATTTTATAGTAGATTTTTTAAAAATGTTTTTACATTTAAGTTTATTGATTCATCTAGAATTTATTATATATTGGTGAAGTATAGGTCTGACTTTTCCTTTATGTGAGATAGTTATATAGTTGTCCAACATTATTTATTGGATCATCCAACTTTTCTCAAATTTTTTTGGAAATATCACTTTTATCAGATACTAAATTTCCATCCATATGTGTTAGGGATATTTCTAGTCTTCTATTCCATTGATATGTATGTCTGTTCCTTTGTCAATACCATGCTGTCTTCATTTTTTCTAGATTTATAAGTATGCTAATTTTTTTTTTTTTTTTCGGTACGCGGGCCTCTCACTGTTGTGGCCTCTCCCGTTGCGGAGCACAGGCTCCGGACGCGCAGGCTCAGCGGCCATGGCTCACGGGCCCAGCCG